GCACAAAATAGAGTGCTGAGGATGGTTCTTGATCGTCCTTTCGACACTAGAATAACAAATTTACATGAAGAGGCAGGCATTGCCAAAATAGATTCCAAAATTAACGAAATTAAGACTAAATTTACACAAAAATGTTATTTATCAGAACATGCTTTGATAAGCAATTTGTATATAGTAGGTTAGGTGTACATAGTAGTTGTAGGTTAGTTGTAGTTGTAAATAGTAGTTATAAGTAGTCTCCTTTTTCCAATTCAAATCAAACCAATCCCACCAAGGTGGTCATACTTTAAAATAGGCCTGATAGGACTAGGAACTGTAAATAAGGAGAAGTAGGTAGGAGAAGTTTTCCTCTACTCGATGGTGATGTCGATTTGCCAGGGAGAGCCATGACTTCCGAGAAATCGTCGCGAGAAGTCATTGTTTACAAAAGCTGTTACGCCCTAATTTCAGCTCTATCTAGAAATGTGAACCATTTCCCATAACAAACAATTATGAAAAGAATTATTTAAATCGGTGAAGGTCATGTTTTCCGATTCGTCATTTGGCGTGGAACTGCTTATTTAGATCATAGTTGTCCTTGATAATAAACTTTTAACAGTGTCCGGATGTATGGACTAAGGGTCTGGATTTCGGTGCATTACGGTAATTCAGGACAAACTCGATAGAGAGAATCAATCATCTCAGTTTAGCCTTTAGGATTCTCCAGGTCTACTGCTAACCGTTGATCAAGTTGGTGTGAAATTCGTCATCTACAGTAAAGTTGTAGTTGGAAAAATTTCCTATTACATAGTACAGATAGCTGGAGTCCTTTTTGAATAGGTCGTATCTCCATTTGTCGATCAAAGAATCGATTAACTTGACTCGCTTTCTACCACAAACTGAGCGGTAGATTTGCAATATTGATGCGTACAATCAAAAGTACAATGACTATATCGGGCGTAACATTTGAAAACGGCACGAAAACTAGTAAGGCCCTTTCCAAGGCTTTAAAAATGGAACTAAAAAACTGGGAAAAATAAAGGTACAGTACAACTGGACCAGTACCTTAAATTCTCGGAAATCTAAAGTTTTATAAAGCCGAACGCTTTTCATACACAAAAAATTATTTAATCTTTATTCAAAAGATTTGAATACATACGCTGGTTTGATAACAGGACACTGTTCTTGTAAATATCACCTGAACATCATTGGTAAACTTCATAAAGATAAATGTCGCTTTTGTAACTTAAAGAGTGAAAATTCTGAACATTTGCTGTGTGACTTTGTTGCACTATTTCATAAACGATGCTGATATCTTGATAAGGGTCTTGGGAAATCAGGGCTACTGCTTCCAATCAGGTAATAAATTTCATAAGGAATGTATTACCTGGTTGGGATAATTGCTTACAATAGTAGTAGTAGATACTCAAACAATAGTGGCTTACCACTACGTTATGGCATAAATAAAAAGAGGATACACAACAATAGATTACAGTCATGGTCACAGTGGTATTATGCCGCCAACATATGGAAAAGGCCCTTTCCATGCGAACTGATGAACGCCCACGAAAACCAATACCACTAACGGAAAGGGGAGAATTTATCCTACTCGATTATGTTTTTGATTTGCGTGGGCGTACACCTTTTGTGTACAAATGCTTTTGTGCCGTTTTCAAATGTAACGTGAGATATTAAAGATTGCAATAATACCGCGCTGGGGGCGGTAGAAAGCGAATGAAGCTAATTGATTTTTTGATCGATACATTCCTGTTCACAAAATCGACCTATTCAAAAATTAATCGAGAAAGTAAGTTTCATCTTTTTCCTAAACCTTCCTGCGAAGCAATTTGGTAAAAAGCTAGGACGTGGTGTATAAAAGGCCCCGTTTTCTCATAGTGATTCCCAAATAAACTTTCAAGGATGGTTTTGCGGTGATGGTCCTCACTTTTCGTTAATGCCATTGCCACTGATTTGATATTTTTGGTTAAACCTACTTAGCATTATTTCCAAGATTTTTCTGCTTTGTCTGATTGCTGAAAACTGAAAGAAAGGAATTAACTTGGGATTACATTCCATTACTAGATTAAACAGTGCAGCGACAATGTAGACCAATTGGCAGCATGGAAAGTCAACCAACACTGCAGGAAAGCTGTTGTCACCGTTAGTTTTTGTTGATGATTCGAAAGAAGTAGTAATGAAAAGTGTTTCACAATTACATTTGGAATGCAGCGCATTTTTTTTACTTAAATCGTTTGTTCGTATCTTCTCTAGTTGTTTTATGAATCCCATTACTTTTTTGTAGTACATATCGTTTCCCGTGATTTTGTAAATTCGGCTATTTTTACGATCATGCGAGGTAGATATGCCAATAACGAACTAAGAAATTTAATCAAAACAGATTACCGTGAACGAGGGTTATTCCGCGTGGTTTGTTATTGCGCTCACGCAGGTTTCAATTCTATAAATTGATGCAAATAAAAAAAGGTGTGCTACAGTCGTGTATATATCCTGTTTCTTTTTATTTGCATCAATTCATCGAATTGTAGCTCCAGTGAGTGGAACTACAAACTGCGTGGAGGAATAACCCACGTTTGCTGTACTTGTTTTTATATAGGGTAGAATGCCACTCCATCGTAATCGCCCATCTCCGTTCTATCGAGCAGAGCAGAACACATCAATAATATCACGATGCACATGTTAATAAAACTGTCGTTTCAGTGCGTTAGCTTATTATCTACAAAACAAAGCCTATTCGAGCGCATTGTATGAATATTGTAAATGAGTGTTCTCAAAACAAAAGAAGCGCTTCTAGCAAATCAATTTTGATGCCTTCATTCGTAGAACGAAGGAAAAATCTAGATAAAAAAATGACTTGGTTGCCAGTTCCAGAGTAAAGCAGTTAGTAACACCCAGGAGTTCACCCAGCAACTACAATCTTCAGGAGACATCAACGAGGACGAGATTATGGTATCTTTCGACGTCACAGCTCTTTTTCCCAGCGTACCGGTCAAGGAAGCGATCAACCATTTGGAGGACTTGCTATTAACACAACGAGAGGATGCAGCATGGAGAAACAAGGTTCGGACGTACCTTAAGCTGACCCGCCTTTGTATGGAAGAGAACTACTTCTCTTTCCGAGGTAACTTCTACAAGCAGACGAAAGGAGCCCCAATGGGAAACCCCCTATCCCCCTTCTTGTGTGAACTTTTCATGGCCAACTTGGAGACAATCCTGAAGGAGAAAGGACTATTACCAAACCGTTGGTGGAGGTTTGTTGACGATATCTTCAGCGTAGTTAAACGGGAAGCCCTTCCACAAATTTTAGATGAGATCAACAGAATTCATAAGGATATCAAATTCACTCACGAGGTAGAAAAAGACGGGAAACTCGCATTTCTCGATCTTCTAGTCATCAGGGAATCGTCATCATCTTCCTCGCTTGAATACGAAATTTACAGGAAACCAACAAGCACCAAAAGAGTTATCCCCTATACTTCCAACCATTCGTTCCAGCAGAAAATGGCCGCCTTTCACCACATGATTCACCGAATGCAGACTCTTCCACTCAGCGATACAGGAAAGGTTAAGGAATTACAGTACATCTTCGAAACAGCAAGACTCAACGGATACAAGGAGACCACAATCCAGGCAATCATCGATAAAAAAGCGAGAATTCTACAAAGGAGATTATTTACAACCCTCACCACAGCACCTGAACCATTGAAACGAGTGTCCGTTCCATTTGATCAAGATATTACTTGTAAACTAAGACCACAGTTAAAACAATTCGGATTAGATTTAGTTTTCACCAGTAGACATAACCAGTTGAAATCATTGTTAGGATCCACTAAAGACCCAGTTAATGTTTTAGGTAAAGCAGGTGTATATAAAATAAGCTGTAATCATTGTAACAAAGTATATGTAGGACAAACCAAGAGAACTTTAGCAACTAGATTTAAAGAACATATAGCGGAGGTTAATAAGGCCAAAAAGCAAGAAGAAAAGGGCCTAACATATGATTTCAAATCAAAGGTTGCAGAACACATATTCACAGAGGACCACCAATTATCGACGGAGGACATAACGATTTTACGAACCGTATCTACACCATGGAAATTGGATGTTGCAGAAAGCCTCGAGATCAACAAACAACGTAATTCAACTTTACTCAACAGGGATCAAGGAAACGGACACACATGGCTTTTCAAGTTACTACCTAGGACACATCAACGAGTAAGCAGCGGAGTACCTAGCGGAGTTCCTGTTCCTATAGAAAATTAAATTTAAGTTTACCTAGTTTCTAAGTGAAAATGTACCTGTGTTAATATATATTCGGTAAATGCGATGTTTTTCTTCAGTCGAGTATTAGTACAAGACACTGAAGAAGTCTGCACATTGTAGACGAAATACGCGTATCTGTCAAGGATAAGCAAATAAAGTAGTGGAATTAAATGGAAAATACTAATCCTTCTCTCTCTCATTATATAAAAAAATGACGTTTCACTAACACACGGAATTGAAACTCGTAGAATGAATTTGGATTAGATTTCTAACAATATTTTAATAATTTGTGTCTTTACCAAATCTAACGGTACGTATAGAAAGGTAAATAAACTCGAAAGTCATCTTTAGTATTATCACTTCATTGTTAGGTTCATATCTTTTTGAAAAAGAGGGGTTGGGTGTGAGTAGTGCTTAGAAGGACGAAAATTAGATCAAAAACTCTATATAGCTGAAAGGCGAAAAATCTCAGCTAATGTTTAACATTGCAAAGGAAGTAATGCCATCAGTGATGTTGGATTCTGTATGTAGGGTCTAGTCTTCATGGCATCAGTTGGTGATTGGCAATTGGTAATGGTTTAAAGACAAGCTCGATGTTGAAAACGTGTACTAATTTTTCGATAATAGAAAAATTGACAACACCATCGTTTAGAGGAAGATTTCCTGTCATCAAAACTTCACTAACATCCAAAATTGATATTGTGGCATGTTTTCTTTACGAATATATCCATTATACTTACTTTTCCAATAAGCATAGCTCTCCTGGTCTAGCTCCTCGGTGGGTCTTCTGAGCTGATGCAGCCCAAAATCGGTAATTTTAAGCACAAAGCGTGAATCCACCACGCAGTTGGACGATTTGAGAGCACCATGCGAGTGAATCTCGGTGGAATGCAAAAATGACATACCCTTGACAATGTCATGCATGAGTGAAATCTTGAACATCCAATCAAGTTTGATGGTTTCATTTTCCAAAATATCCTGCAGGGAACCTTTCGGACAGTACTCCGTTAGTATGAATGGCTCCGGACTGGGATCAAGACAAGCACCGTAGAATCGAACAAGATGATCGTGCTGGATGTCCTTCATTCGCTTGAACTCCAGCATCATGGTGCGGTTTAGGTTCAGATTGTTGATGTTAATCTTTTTGATTGCAACTTTGCAACCTTTGTAGAATCCAAACAAAATGTAGATCTGCCGGTCACCAGGCAGCGAATTAAGGTCTTCGGAGTAGATAGTCTGAAATCGTACTATTAATTGGTTCATAAATTACTAGAAGGTGCGTTGGTGCGAGTACTTACAGCTTGACTGCCACGTTTGGCCATCAGGTGTAGACTACCCCGATGGCCTCGACTAGGGTTGCAGGAAAGCACCTCGTTGGCGTGCACTTTCCATGTCATGGAGTTGATTTCCGCTTCGAGTTTGTAGTGCCGATACCCGAGGATCGACGCTATTGCCATGAAAATGACACACATACCAAGAATCAACGAAAGAATGGCATATCCGGGCAGGGCTAAACGAAAGAATATGTTACCGTATTTGAGCTAAATACAATATTACAAACGCTTACATTTATCCGGACATAATGAGCCATCGAATCCACAGGTTGGTCGATCAGGTGGAGCTTTCGTTCTACCTCCGGACCAGTGAATTTCTTTGCCTTCAACGAATTGAAGACCTCCGTCGTGGAAGTAGTTTGCTACTATCTTGGGATGAAAACAGAATTGTTAGTTCTCCAACATTCCATTTAAAAGTGATTAAAGTCCTTACCTCAAACATTCCAGTTTCCGGGTTCAGGTCTAGCAGTGAGTAGTCTGAAATGCGATCGCCGTTGGAATCTATCGTAACGTTTCCGGTGATTCCTTTGAACGATTTGCCCCACATGAGATGAGCTAGATAGGTTCCATTAATCGGTTGCTTCAGGGCTTGCTGTTCACCTAGCAAGGTAATACTGTCGTTAAGGGCATATGCATAAAGAAGCACGGCATCGTAGAACGCAGTGACAAACGTTGATACTGGTTCATCTTCCGCGTAGGTGTAGTTGAATTTGTTCTTGGTTAGCAATTTTACCTGCAAACGAAAGCAGTAATGGATCATAATTATGATATGAATTGTATGTCATCTGGTAATTGCTTCAATAATTAATTCATGTCGACAAGTGAATACTTCAACTCCTCAACTTCTACTGATCGTCACAGCAATACATTTGAAGCACTGATTTCAATTAGTAGGGAAGAGCTTTCATATTTTGAATTTTTTTAGTTATACTTCTTACTTCGTCGAAATCAGTTCACCAGGAATCATCAAAACTATTTATCCGACAGAGAATATTCAGATAAAAGGTGGAACGAGCAAAAAGTAGTCACACTAAAGTAAATAATAAATAATCACCTATTTTATGTTATTTTGGGAGCTTACTCTCACATGAAGCCCTGATATTGTTTAGTTCACTCTATGCTTTGCCAAATCTGAATTAACGAACTTCCCCTTCCATTTAGTTTTGCACAACCTTATTGTATTGTTAAATTAAGTTACACCATTTTTTATTCACATTATCAACTTATTCTGGTTCCTTCTTAAGGTTTCTCGTGATGATTGTTCAATATTTAAAAAATGGCCGAAGTATAATGAATTTGACGGGTTTTAGTTTTTGGCTTCAACTGCAACGTTTTTCGTTTTATACAATTTTCATGTAGCTTTACCGCAATGACAAGAAACGAGATCAGGCCAATACACCTTAGGGTATCAGTGGTTTCTAATAAAAAGCAATACGTATTTACTCAAACACTCGCTCACGTAAATACAGCCCCTTAGTTGAACGGAACTCAAGTCTCATTCAACCCCATCGCTGGTTGTCAAGGTGATCACGCCGCACACTGGGGCAGATCAGTGATTTTCTCGGAAAAAATTAATAACTTTTGAACAAAGCATCCAATCAGAATACTGTCTTCGGTAAAGTTGTTTGTATTAGTTAAGCGCTTCTTCTGAATAAATTAATTAGTTCGCAACTTGGTCGTAGAGATGGCGCGCGAATCTAACTTTTGAATAAAGCATCCTAGACGTATGGTGTTTTCAACAAAGTTTTTTATCTATTAAAATGAAGGAAAGTTGCAGAAGACATAAAACTTCCATAACCTTTAGTTTCGGAGATATAGGGTGTATTGAAAAATATGATGCCAAAATTCTTATTTGTAATTTTTTTGTATATTTTCATATGTTTGCTCTGGTTTCTGCATTTATTCCAACGAAAACAAACTAGGTGCAAATTTTCATTGCACTATTTGTGGAATTTATAGTGGTTTTAGTGAAATATTCTCGAAAAACATGATATTTTGCCTCTATTTTAGGTGGGTGGGATTCTCGAAAGGGCAGCTAAGGGCAGCTGGACTTTGTCTCTTTTGCTAGCTCATGTCATTGTCTAACATATACCAGAAAACTGAAGACATGATATTCGATGATTTTTTTTTAATTTCACCTTTTGTAAACCGTTACAAGTATCTCTTCTAATAAGGAAACCTGTCAGTTATGTATAATTTTTATTCGTTAAACTTTTTAAATTGCAGTAGCAGTAATGGTTTAAAGATTAAACTATCTCTTAAGTTGAAGTATTTAGAAATCAGTTGTCCTTAATTGTCACTATTTGTCAAATGAATCCTGTGGTTGTAATAATGCCAATACCTCGCTTTTTTTATTAATTGGGCTGAATTTTTCTTCGGTCTTTTTCGCAGACTTGTAATTAATGGATCTGGTTGTAAACATAGTTTGATGTGCTTGTGTGATCTATTATCTTTACTAAAATTAATTTTGAGACACCACTAAACGAAATGCATGTTGGCATATGGCATAGAATAAACAACTGTTGAAAATTCACATTGAAGGTGAATCCATTATAGCAACTTTGTGGATTATTGCTCAACACCGGAAATTGATCACTGAACTGAGACGAGAAAAAAATTCACGCTTATGGATACCAACTACTGAAACATTGACGCACATTAATAATTCTCGATTACTTTTTCGAAGAGATGTATCAGCTTTGTAAACAATGCATTTGATCGTCGGTTTGGCGTAACTGGTAGCTCGCTCACGTATACTAACACTACCATCAGATAGGGGAAATTTTCTCCTGCATGATAGTGGTGTTCGTATGCGTGAATGAGCTACCAGTTACACAAAACCGACGATCAAATGCATTGTTTACAAAAGCTGATACGTCTCTTCGAAAAAGTAATCGATAATTGTACGTTGTACACGATCACGTTGGCACGGCAGCACACAGCTTGTACGATGATGTCACATATACAACTTTACCTGGGCAATGCAGCTGATTGAGCTGACGTATACATGGTGGAAAGGGACGGATAATCGTGTAGTAAGCAGAGAGTCAAAAACAGATGATAGCATCAAAAACATGGCCGCCAGCCAGGCCCCTGGTTCGCTGGCAGCTCATAATAAGTAAACAATCTCAAAATTCAGCACAGCATTTAAAAATGGTGACATGTCAAAAATTTATATAATGTTTTTCATTATGTGAAACAGTTCATTCCAATGTAAAGGATGTTTTTTCGGTATATATAAAGTGAAATTAAAAAAAATCATCGAATATCATGTCTTCAGTTTTCTGGTATATTTTAGACAATGACATGAGCTAGCAAAAGAGACAAAGTCCAGCTGCCCTTAGCTGCCCTTTCGAGAATCCCACCCACCTAAAATAGAGGCGAAATATCATGTTTTTCGAGAATATTTCACTAAAACGACTATAAATTCCACAAACAGTTCAATGAAAATTCGCACCTAGTTTGTTTTCGTTGGAATAAATGCAGAAACCAGAGCAAACATATGAAAATATACAAAAAAGTTAACAAATACGAATTTTGAAATCATATTTTTCAATACACCCTATATCTCCGAAACTAAAGGTTATGGAAGTTTTATGTCTTGTGCAACTTTCCTTCATTTTAATAGATAAAAAACTTTGTTGAAAACACCATACGTCTAGGATGCTTTATTCAAAAGTTAGGTTCGCGCGCCATCTCTACGACCAAGTTGCGAACTAATTAATTTATTCAGAAGAAGCGCTTAACTAATACAAACAACTTTACCGAAGACAGTATTCTGATTGGATGTTTTTTTCAAAAGTTATTAATTTTTTCCGAGAAAATCACTGATCTGCCCCAGTGTGCGCCGTGATCCACCTTTAACCGCTGACTTGCTCCTGCTTACTGCAGGACCCAGTGCCACACCGTCCGAAGCGGTAATGAGCAAAGACACGACAGCAACGCTGTTTTATATCTTTTCAGGTTCACGAACGAAGTGCAACCGATTATGACGACTGGGTTTCGGAAAAACGTTTATTTCATGAAAATGGTGATAAAATTATCATTTGTACATTTGTTCAAAAGTTTTTATATTGAAAACTTAAAAAAATATTTATTTTAGCAGATTTGTAATGTAATATCCTATCTATTGGACAAAGTGGTGGTGTCTGGTAAGATGAGTCTTACATTTCCAAAAATTGGGTTTGTAGTTTTCATCACAATTTGAATATTTAATTTCGTAGGAGTTTCCTGCAGTCGTGCTTGGTGTGAGAGGAATCACCACAATCCATGCATTTAGCTGGCATGTGCAATCAAGGATTTCTGAAGTGTTTCCACTTCACTCGGACATGGAGCATAAGGCTAACTTTTTCTAAGGCCTTAAGATTGTTTAGTTCACATGACTTGAAGTGAACTAAATAAAAATCATTAGAATCTCGTTCCGCAAATCCCCAATTTTTTATTATAATCACTTTAACGCTTTTCGGTCATTTTTGACTTGTCCGGGGGTAAGATTTGAACTCGTGACTTTGGCGTGAGAGGTATGGATAATTTTCATTTTATTTATTTGAACTGACCCAATTCCAAATAAATTTGTTAGTTCATTTTTGTCCAGGGTTTCACCACTGGGCAGACCCTTCAATGCAATCTTAAACAGACGCTCAGTTTTCCTGTCGTAAGTAAAAATATGAGTTGCTTCCGAGTAAGGTACTCGAGAAGACGTTAGAATCCGTCCAATGTTTCAGTCAATACACGGCATGACTGCCAATTTAAAATGAAAACTTGAATTCATCAACGAAGTTCAAGAATTTCTTGCAAAAAGTGTGAAATTCGTCAGTGGTTATCACAATAGGGGGACCGTTTAGGTACCATGACGTCTAAATCAACTTGCAAGCAGATTACTAAATCCGAAAGACTGATAAGGGATTTTCCAAATCAATGTTCAAGCTTGACTATGAGATATTTCAAATAATCATTCCTTTATTTATATTTAAAATATGATGGAAATAGATTGTAAAACTGCAATTCATAAAGGAAAATATTTAAATTTATGAGACAAGTGAATCCGTTCCATTCTGTTGTGATATATACTATTAGAAGCATAAGTTGTGGTTGGTGATTTCAATATCCATGCCAACGTTCAGAAAAATCCATGCACAGGAATTAATTGTGAACCCTCCAAATGAAAAAAACACAATTCGTTACTAGCGAAAAGCATCTGATGAAACGTTATCGTTGTTACTCCATTTCCCCTAGTTGAATCAAATCATGAAATCCGTTTTTATAACGGGATCAAATTATGACTGTCTGTAGATAACAAAACCTCGAACATCCACCAGTGTACATAAATATGAAATCCTATTACACACCATCGAACACACGTGCTAAGGATAAAGCCAGCTATCTGTTTGCTCATAAGGACACATAGATATCTTCGCTTGAAAGCTTTTCGTCAGCATATCGTTAACAATAAAATTGTATCAGAGAAGTTTTTAAAGTGTCTCCTCGACTGAGCTTTGTGAGCATAGGAGATTCCGTAAATGGAAAACCTACCTCGACACAAATTGCTCGTGTTTTAAATAAATTCGTATGATAGGGTTTTTGATCTAATTTCCGTCCTACTAAGCACAATCCGCGCTTTACTTCTCTTTTCTGAACGAGTTTAAACAAAAAATGGAATATTTCTGTCAAAGATGTCTTCTAAATTTATTCACCTTTCCATACGTACCGTTGGATTTGATAAAGAGTCACCAA